TTTAATATTTAATATTCTTCCAGTTTACTCCCACGTGTTTTACTAACGACCCAATTTTAAATGACGAGCGACGTTTCAATTAATTTCCCATTCTATTTTTGCGTTTCGAAATATTGACCGTTTTTTTAGTTTTTGGGGCATTAAACGAAAATTAAAGACGCGAAAATTTTATTCCTCTTTCAAGAATTAATCAACAAAGTTCGTTCGATCGTATAATTATAAAGGATTAAGAAAATAATTGTTAAGTGGAGGATTTAATTTTTTTTACTCTTTGTATATTTGTAAAGTAAAGCGAAATTAAATTTCATTTTTTATAATAAAAAGGAACATTTCATGTATGATAAATTGATTATTTTAAAAGATCAATTGTAAAATTAATAATATCGGTGTAATTAATATTATATCGATCGTATATAACAGCTTTCAAATTCCAAACATGTACTATATTTCAATTGTATGGATGCCTAATAGGTATCTAATTTCCATCTCATTAGTTGCTTTATTTTATTATATTAGTTAATATATCGTTATATTATGTAATGATAATATAACAATTATTTTATTCTACAATATCCAAAAATTTACACGCATACGTATATATTCTACTATGTAGAATATATACAAAGTTTTCAATTATTACAAATATAAGAGTGATCCTTCGAAATAAAGTGAGAATCAGAAGAGTAAAAAAATTAAATTTTCCATTTTTGACCGTTCAAAAAAAATCAACCGAAAATATCCTTGAATTCGAATAAACTTTTACAAACGAATATAACTCAAATAGCAAGAAATATAATACTTCTCAAACCGTAGATTATAACTAATATCGTATAACATCGTAGATTTTTCCCCCTACGACTTATACGAAATAAATTCTTTTTCGTGTGTCAGATTTGAAAATCACTATAGTGAATCAATAAAGCTTCTCCTCGCGTAAGCTGCTCTACATTCGTTTGCGAGATTTGCTCGTACACAAGCGTATTTTCGTCAATTTTTAATTGTCAGTATGTCATATCCTATTCTTAATACATCAACTCCTCTCAATTTAACGAAACTCGTTAGACCAAGAAATATTCGATTCGACCTCCTCTCGCTCCAATCAAGATAAAATACAATTTAATATCAAGCCTTTCTCAAACCACAAATTAAAAAAAATTAAAAAAAAAACAAAAAACAAATTAAAAAAAAAAGAAATCAATCTACAACACTGTACGAATAATCTTAATCACTCTCAAAATAATTCACAGTTCAGATATCACGAACTTAATCAATTGCTCCCTCTCCGCTCCGAAATGAAAGAGGAAAGAGACGGCGAAAGAATGGTGGTGGGCCGCCCCTACGTACACGAAAATATCTGCGAGCATCTCTTGGATACACCATTTCCAAGGAGTGGAGAATGTACGCGCGTCGTGTCCACCCGTTTGGAAAGAAAGATGTCGCGCTGCTTTTCGAACGTAAAGCGCGAGACCGCGGCAATAAATCAAAGGGGAATCCCGTTGCTTTCGATCCGGGTTTCGAAGGAAAAGGGGTGCTTTTCAGGTCCACGGCTCCTGGGAGGTGTCTCGCTACGAAAAATCCATTCGTCATCCCCCTCCACACACCCCCCGTCGCCACCTTTCTTCCCCTCCTAGCTGCTTCCGCGTCTTGGAAACCACTCCACCGCTTTCTATCCTCCCATTTTTTGTTTTTCTTTTTTTTTTTTTTTTTTTTTCTTTCCTTTTCTTCTCTTTTCCCTTAGTCCTCTCTAGAGCATCGTCTGAGAACATTCTGGATTTTAAGTCTTGGGAGAATTCTGGAAATCAATCGAGTTGTTTCAAAGGGTGTGTTGGAAAGTTTTAGGAAGGGAAGAAGTAGTTTTTAGTTTACTAGAAGAGGGTTAATCCATCGAAGTTTTTTAACAAACTTATGAATGATTATTGACGTGGTAATTTTGACGTTAAACATTGACATTAATATGATTTGGAATCGTTGATTTCGATCGTGTGATTAATTAGAATGAATTGGTAGAAAAGAAAGGTTTTTAATTAGATTTGGAAATTAATGTAAATGTGTTTTTATATTTTTTTTTTTTTTTTCCTTTTTTGAATATCGATTATCGATCAATATTTTTCGTGATTACACGCGTAATTGACACACAGCGATGATGAAAAAAGGAGGCTTACATCGATCGATAATCGGCTGAACGTTTATTTTCATAATCGGACGACGAGAGCCAGCAGACAATGTGAAGAAGCTCTTAGATGCCGTGATTGATGAGGGAAAATTTTATTTGGAAAGTGTTTTGTTTGATATCGTAAAGAAGATCGTTGCGTTGGAAGAAATGTTGGAATTTCTGGTATTATGGAAATGGGGCGGATGTGCGTGATGGTGATAAGGAAAAAGCGATTGGAATTTTTTATAACCTTGTACCAAGGTTTCTTGGGTTTTTGGAGCGTGGTTTCGTGTAATATCCAATGAAATGGAACTGCTTTTCGAGATAAAAATAATAAAGTTGAACAGGACAATTTATGTATCGTTGGTGTAACATAAAAGTTTATGAAAACTAATTGCTAAAATATATATATATTTTTTTTTTTTTTTGATATACTTATAGTTGAATTTTTGTCAAGTTTTGGATTTTTTTTTTTAATTCAATGTTTCCTGATGATTTTTATGTAATAATTTTTGCAATATTTAGACAACAATATTGCCTATATTACGTAAAATGTAATTAACAATTTCAAAAATTTATTTTGAAAAAAACAATTATTCAATCTATTGTTTAAATCCAGATTGAAAATGCAGGAATAATACAGAAACATTTCACAAATATAAAAATAATATTTTGCGCAAATAATGGATTAATATAAAACTCGCAAGAAAAATGTATTTTATGAAAATTCGTGTGAAAAAGAGCATCGATATAAAACGTTCGATAACCTACATTTTTCATATTCATATTTAAAATAAATTTCGTAGAGTGCTTAAATACTTCGTTTAACTGTTTTGCAAATTCACCTATAAAATAAAATATCGTATCGTTGGAAGAAGAATTCGAATTTCGAGAAAGGAATGTGACATAAAAAAATGAAACATCATGGAATGAAATATTAAGGTACGAAACTGTGTCGTGGAAAGTGGACGTAAAAAAAAAAAAAAGAAAAAATTATCTCCCTTTCAAACGAGATTATCGCGAGTCAAGTGGACTATTTGCCATATTATTACGTCGACATCTGGCAAGATGCTCGAATTGAGATACATGTCATGTTATGTCGAGGAGCTGCTTCAAGTGTGGTGTCGAAACGCTCTTTAGATCACTTATATTTATAAAAGAGCATTAATAAAAACGAGATGTATCCAATTTTAATAGATTATTCGTACAACATGGTATCCAGCATGCAAGGTATCACGAGTAAGTTTTTCCTTTTTCTATTTCGAGTATAATACCAAAATTGGGTAAAATAAATTTGAGAAAATCTAAAAGTGGAATCTAAAAATTTCAAAATTCATCGTATAATCTTCATCGTTCTTCTTCTTGGTATGGAATTCAAAACTTTTCGATTCTAAATAAAACGAAAAAGAACTTGTAATTCAAAAAGTGAATCGAATATGAATTTCTTAAATTCTTAAATATATATTTAATATATTATAAAAGGAGCGCAATATAATCTACATAAATATACTCAAACGTAAAAATAATTGCAAGATCAGAGAAAGTTCTCTTTAAAAAATCTCTTTAATTAGAAAGAAAATTCTAAAAATAAGGTAAGGTTCTTTCGAGAGATTCGTCGTCAATTATTAAAAAAAATAAATAAATAAATAAAAGGAAAATTTCATTCATAAAAATACCATTCGTCGAAGCACCAAGCATCTCGTCGAATCTCTCGTGGAACAAATTTGAGTTTCACGAAGCAAACGATTCATCTATAAATAATACATCTCTGTTCGACAGAAATAATAACGAGGGCTCTGGTATAACGAAGATCTTCGTTAATTTCACTGACTTTCGTCGCGATTCACACGCTTCTTTGTCAACGAAACGAGTACGCCTCGATGATACAGCACAGTGTTGTGGAAACTGGTGAATAAATTGGTTGAGTGGCACGTCTATTTGGATAAATCGCGGTTTATCCCAGATTTCATACGTTTACCCTCCGCCTACGCAAACACGTGATGTCCACAAACATCCGGAAATTCGTTCGACATTCTCCGCTTCGATATTATACTTGTCTTCTGCTCGATAACTTCTCCTAAACCTATTCAAAGCGAATCTTTTTTTTTTCCTTTCTTTTGTTTTCGCTATCGTGACGAGAGAAATTCCATTTTTCGAATTTATTTGTCTATACACGGTGTACGAAAACGCACTGAAGAGGGTACAAAAGGGGATACAAAAGAAAATGAAAAGAGGAGAATATCGTTTTTCGCGAATAACGTTGGAGGAATTTTCATTGCGTGGAATTTTTATTGACAAGTATCGAAGAATTCGAAGATATTTTTTGAAACTTTTTCATCTCAAATTTTCTACGTTTGTTTGCGTCACGTGTATCGAGTGTGTAACAATTAAAATTTCATGTAATAAATGTAGAAATGGGCATATAATTATACCAAGTGTCTTGGGCAGAAGAAGAAAGTTTTTAAATATACGTGAATATTTGATTAATTTTGGATATAATTAACAAATTATTATACTATACCTGAAAATAACAACAATATTACAAACAATATTAATTTGGAAGAATTCAATGATAAAATGTTTCAAAAACAAATATAAGAAGAAAGTGATTACTAATCTCCACTCTTATAGTAAAAAACAGTATAAAAATTTATAATTATTACCCATCAAATATTGCCAAAGATTTGAATAATTGAATTGGATTTCTAGAAAAACGAAATTTTAATGACATTGACTATTCGAAAAAAATAAAATGACTTTTTAGGGAAAATATTCCTCGCAAGAAAGATTTAAATTTAAAAAGTTTGAAAAGAGTCAAGATGTATAAAGCGAAGTGCAAGTGACTTACCGTGAGGCACGCATTTCGGGATGGGATGATTCCAACCGTCCGCGGTGCAAGTCAGTATTTTATGGCCCTTCAATCTACGGCCTGGTTCACACGAGTACACGGTCTGTAAAGTACCATCTTTAAGGACTCGTTCCCTCACTCTTCCCCATTGCGGCGCTTGCACCAAGGGACAATCCCCGAGAGCTCCTAAAAGTCGAACGAAACACACCTTTAATCGTGCAGAAGCGTGCGAGCATGAGAATGTATAAAAGATTTGATTTTAATTTTCTGTAACAATTGTTTGTTGATATATACGATACAGAATGTTATATATACGATACAGAATGTAGAGTTTCTGTACATAATATTTTCTACAGTTAAAAAATTGAAATTAAAATAAAAAAAGAGATGAAAGAGATTTGATAAAAAGTTATAACAAAAAAAAATATGAAACGTAAACGCTTTATCTGTTTATGTTCCAAAGTATCATCTATATTTGTATACTGCAAATTTAATGAATTTCAACAAAAGAAAATATTCGTGTTTCGAAATTTGCAGATCCTCGTTATTACGTTAACGAATAATTACAATTAATTTCAAAAATTGGATTATTACGTTGTAAACGAATTAGAGGGTGCAATTATTATTTTCAATTCAGCTTGGCAGAATCATTACTCGAAATGGGAAAAGCGAGTTTTTTGCGGTATTTCATAGGTTTGGAACAAAGAGTGGTCAGAGTACACTGAAAATTTAATCTCGACCAGGTATTGGTCGAGCGTGGAAATTAACTCTGCGATTGGTCACCACCCAATCTCGGTTTATAGGAGCAAAAACTAAAATTTAGTTGACCAATGTTTTTTCAACGCGGTAACAAAACTTTTATAATTTAACTTAGATCCTGAATTAAATTAAAATTGTTCTTCTTCTTCTGCATTATTCGTTTACCATGTAGGATTATGTAACACGATCATTTTAATTATTTCATTTTATTATTTACTTTTGATTAGTCAAAATTTTTCTTCCTCACAAATGATCTTTGAGATAAAATACATTTCATCTCACTTCTTTTTCCAACAGATATTCAAGATTATCTTCTATTATACGTATAATGGATTTAAAAGAAGGATTCTAATCCAATCAATATTCGAATGTTAAGTACTTCTAGTCATATTTAATCCCATCTTCAATTTTCTTATTAACTCCTATCATGCTCGACGAATAAGCCCCTTACATACCAATTTCTTACACTTTTGTTTTGGCTCTCCAAAAGTATCCCACAAATATGAATAGAAGAAAATATCGACCATTAATTTCCCATAATAAGCGCCTTATCGTCATTATTTTCGTCGTAATGAATCTCATTGCACGATAAATTTAAATATCGAAGAAGCTCGACGTATGAAATGTGAGAAAAAAGGCAGGAACAATTTCACGGTTATAAAATTGCTGGTAGTTTCCGTAGTCGAAGGGCAACATTCCTAATCGGCTCGCCGCGAGGAATCTCGTGGCGAGTTACGAGCCACGAGAGCCGAGGTCATGTTCGCCACCGCCAACGATGGCCAGAACGAAACCAGCCTTCGGAGTCGTAACGACTTTCGTTCTGCATGCTGCATTGGTGATTCAGATAAAAGGATAACATCTTACCGCCTACCGTAAAAAAACTTTTCATTTAATAACCTTTCTTTTCGGCCAATACGTTACTCGCCAATTTCTAGGGAATTTTTTACCGCTCGATCGGTCAGTAAGTTTTCTACGTTTTTGATAGAGATTTTGACAATATGGCGGAATCGGGGAAACCATCGTTTCAATTGTGGAAGTGGAGAAAAATTGAGGTTGGTTACTAAAATTGATTAAAAGATTTTCACGTGATTTGATTGGATTTCAGATATTTGTGTGTTTATGAGAAATTTGAAGAAGTAATAACGATATATGATATAAGTAAATTAATTAAAATCACCATATCCTGGCAAAACTATTTCTATACGACGAACTAATAATACCTATATCAGAATCAGTTTCAAAATTCCCCTCCGATATTCGTACGAGGATCCAGCGAGCAATAATAGCACAAACGCTTATTACAATTCTATTACACAACGGGAATTTCATGAGTGGGAGGGGAATACGACGAATCCTCGTGTACAAAATGTTAGAACGTTTCCACCTCGGATAGAGAGGAAGGAAGTTTCCGTTTGAAGCATCATCCAGATGGAGAAGGTCTGTCGTTTAATTAATACCTGAACGTTTACATTCCGTAATTAATATCAAGACGCTCTAGAAGGTGCACGGTCAATTCTCTATTCACCGATATTCCTCAAAGGGCCGGATGGAAACCAAACGATGGCGTGTTAATTAAATGAATAGGGCGGCACGATTCGAAAGGGATGAGAGCTGACGATCCAATTGTAGGCATTGACCGGTCTCTGGTATCGTAATACTATGATTAGGAATGGATCTGGCCAACTTGTGAATCCCAGTCGCGTTTGTGCGGGATTCAATTGATAAGGAACAGAATTCTAGCCGAGTTGTGAGTGTCCTGGTTACGCTTGTGAGATGCGAGCGACGAATGATTAATCAGTTGTTGGAACGAGAAGAATAGGGTCAGTTGAATACTATTGTACTTTTTTTTTTTTTTTTTTTATCTCGATATAATATTGATTGAGAGAAATGAGTTAAAGAGAAATATTAAATTTTATTAGTTAAAAGCGCCTTTTTAAATATATCGAGAAATGGATATGAAAGTTATTCGTTCGTGGATGTATTCATTATGTATTGCAATAAACACGTGACAGTTCAGAAAAGGAAACGTATGGAATAATCGATTATCGATAGATTGTGACACGTATGAAATTACTTCCACGAGTTGTAGAGACATCATAACTTGATATAACATTTATGGAGATTGGCCCGAATTCAACTTATAGAGGTAAAATTATAACACTTGAGCTGCAAATAAATCGAAGTAAGTTTATATTTATAGATGTTTTTAATAACTGTTTTTAAATTATAGAAGATCAAATTACAAAGTTCTCTGACCCCTCTCTTATTTTATCCCAACAATTACAATTTTGGATAAAACAAATCTACGTAATAATAAAAGTTTATTCCAAAATACAAGTTGAATTCAAATAAAACTGTTACATAAATTATTATTCTCAAATTGAAAGGAAGATAAGAATAACGATCGAAGGACAAGTTTTGAAAAATAGCGAGACGAAGATTGCCAATTTAGGAAAGCACCTTTGTCGATGAACTTTAGTTGCCACAAACGCTCTCGTCTGAAACGTTTCGATGAATTAATTCGTCAACGGGCAAAGATCCAAATGATTTTCGAGGTGTTGCTCGTGGACACGTATACTCGAATCGAAATAATTAACTGACCGTATGGCATTGTATCAAATAAGTGGTTTGGGCGGGTCCAAAAGGGAGCCAGCTCGGCATTAACCGCAAAATTTATGCTATGTCGATAACGACCGGTTAGAATTTTAAACAGGCCATTGTGCACCATTGAATTTTACATTGTCTTTTGAACGATCAAATTACGTATTTCATGGTTATAGATGTATAAATAGAAGTTAATAATAGATTTTTAAATTTTACATTATTATATTTGAAAATATAAAAATCTGGTGTTATCAAGGTTTTCAATGTGAATTTAAAAATGGATGAAGAGATATAATTTTCTAAATAAAAATATTTTTTTTAAAATATTCATGTACATGTAATATCTATACTTTTAATTTAACATAAAGTCATATTCACAAGTTTTAATTGAAATTAACGTAATATTTTCATTATAAATATTGTATTTGTTTTAAAACAAATTAAAGCCAAAAAAAATTTAGAATAATCGAGAGTACAATTAAATATTTTTTCCAAAGAGGATTTATAAATATTTTGGAAAATTTTGGAACAATGCTTTTCTTATAATTATCCTATATATATATACTGCATAGCAAAAGTAAAGTATCTCTGAAGCTAAATGTAAAGTATCTCCACGAATAACAAGGTAAAATTAGGAACGCTGCACGTCCATTCTAATTAACAAAATGCACTAACGAGATGCTTCAAAACGTAGAAATAATAGACGTAATTTTGTTAATTTTTAAGGTGAGCTCTGGAAAAAGAACTCGGTAGAAAATTTTCCATCCCTGTATCTCGGTGGAAAGTTAAACGTTGAAAACTACTTATAAATTGTGGAATTATGGCTCTGTGTCTATAATATTCAAGAAGATTTCCCATTTTCAAGGAAGAGATTTTTCCTTTCAAAAAAAAAAAAACGTGATACAGTGATGATGCAACGAACTTACAACTCAGCCTAGCCTAATCATATTACGTGAATTTTTTCCTCTTCTCGAGAATAATTGTTTATTTAAATGAATTTCTAGAATTTCTCTCTTTATTTGCATTTGACGCAACAATGATTGAAATTTTCAACCACCACAAAATATCATTTCGCAGTTTCATTAATCTTAAAAAAAATCCAACTTTCATACTCGTTCATATAAAAAACACGATGTGAAAAACACAAAACACGATGTGATGTACTTGTTTATTAAAAAAAAAAATTGGAAATTTCGAAGAATTTACATTCTTCTTCATAATGAACATTTCGAAAGAGCCATAGAAAACGGTCCAAACGTTTTTCAATGGATAAAAATCCTCGTGCACGCAATACTTTCGTGATTAATAAGTTAATTAAAACAGATTTTTCGAACGGATGAACGGAGAAATATAAATATTTTCAAACGAATTTTACAAACAAATTTTCTCCTGCCAAATCTACATCGAAATTAAACGACACATACCGCTCATACTACTCAAACATAACAACGTACGTATCCCCCCCGTTACGCAAAATTACTTCAATTTTCGCTCTCGAATTCCCCCAGATAATAGAGAATAAAAAATAAATAAAATAAAATCCATTCATAGTTCGAAAGAGAAATGCCCGACTACAAAAGATTGGTGACGCGAGCAGTAAAAGCCTATTCGATTCTTTGATCGTTTCCACGCGGACACGTGTTGTCGCGAGACCGTGGCAAAATTGCTCGTTCAAAAAAATCAACCAGAATCGAAAGGAAGGTTGACAGGCGGGGCCTTGAAAGAGAGAAAAAAAAAAAAAAAAAAAGAAAGAAAGAAAGAAAGGGAAACACGTGGGAGGAAGGGCGGCGTTTAGCGTTAATTTGTTCACCCCCGCAAATTCTCGCGGCCAAACACCGTGCACAACGCGGCTTGGAAAACAAACAAACGATCGCGAGCCTTTTATGGAAGCAATCTGCGCGAACCCGAGACCCATTTACTTAATGCAGCCTGCCCGCCCCGTGGTGACTCTCTAATTAATGTCATCCGAGATCTCCCTTCCAAAAGGCGGTGTTGGCCGGCTTTATATATCAGATCCAGAGGAATGTTGCCTCGTTTTCTGCAATTGGAATGCGAAAACGATAAGCGTTACGTGAAGTAGAAATTCATTGTACCTATCTGAGATAGTTTCTGGTCGAGTGCTCTCTGTCACGATTCGTGGTATTTTTAACGAAGTAAAGAATAACGTGGTTTCGTTATTCTTCCTCCCCTCCCTCCCTTTCTTCGCGTTTCGTCTCGATAGATGGCAAGGTTGACAAGAGAGGAGGGGATTCAAAAGGAGAGGGTGGTTTTTTAACTCGCCATATTTTATAGGATATGGCAATTTTGTAAAAGAATTATTAAGAAGAGATCAAGAAAAGCTCGATCTTTTATTTTTTTCTTCTTCTTCGAATCGTTCGTGCGAAAGTTGACACTTTATCCCTTATATCTTGAAGCAAACTCAAATTGCTCGTAACTTGAATGAATATAGCCTCGATATTTTTGATATTATTTTTCCCTTAGAATCGATCCTGAATGAAAAGGTATTCCACGAATATTTTATATCCAATTTAATTATTTAAGAATTTTTTTTCACTTCCCAATTTCATCTTAACTTCCAGATAAATTCGTTTGCCTTGAAATTTCTCACATCGCATATCGATCTTCTCGAGCTGTTTCCCTTCTCGATCGATAGGTACGTCGCTCTAAATAGGCGCAAACAACGCGTTATTAAGTCTCGCCTCGTTTTAACGACAGCCATTTCGCTCCACTCCTATGTTTCTCCCGCTGGAATATTTTACGATCGAAGGGAGGAGGAGCTAACCGTTGTCACAGTTTCTAAGATTTACGTATTGTTACGCATGTAGCCTGTTTCTGCTCGCTTCCAACCATAAGCTCGCCATTGGATCCATTGAACGAGGAGGAATCGTAGAGGGGGATGCTCTTTTTTATTAATTTCTATTCTTTTACCCTAAAAAATTGTCGATGATAAAGGAACGTTGTTTTTTTTTTTTTTCATCGTTTTATATGATGGAGTAATTTGAAATTTTACAACGATTATTAAGATAACGATTGCAGGAGACGTGTTAATTAATAGTAAGAAAGTTTCTTAATCTTTGGTTTTCGAGGATGAATTTATATCTTGTTTGAAATTTTATTATCGTAGGGATTTTTTGAAGAAAAAAAATTAATTGAATTTAGATCAGAGTTGTTCAAAGTTGAGGATAAGTCTATACGCTTTAACTTTTCCCTAATTAATATTCTGGGGATA